AATACATAATTTCTTCCTTCTATTATCTCTCTTACTAAAACCCGCGAAACATCGAAGTTTTAAGAATTTCTATAAACTGCAATAAGATCAAGCATGTAGAACAATGTAATGGCGATGAGCCGTTACACCCCGCTCCTAGTCAGTGGTAGAATTCTGTCGAATATCCGCTTGTCTCCCACTCGGTTTATATGTGTACCTAGAATTCTACACAGTTCTATACATTTGCGCTCGACTCAAACTTCGGCAATAAAACGTATATGTATGCTAACGTAGAATTCTATAGAATTCTATGCCTTTCCGCTTGTTTCCCACTCGGCTAATATATTGTACATATGTAGTAAGGTAGAATTCTGTAGAATTCTACGTTAGCATAGACATACAATATATTGACCAAGTTTGAGTCAAGTGGAAATGTATAGAATTCTATAGAATTCTATGTTAATACAAATATAGTTGATTAGTGACTCACTATCATGCAAGGCTTGTATCCCACTCGGCTAATATATTGTATACGTGTAGTAAGGTAGAATTCTACGTTAGCATGGATATACAATATATTGACCAAGTTTCTATAGAATTCTATACATTTCCGCTTGACTGAAACCTGGTCAGTATAGAATTCTATAGAATTCTGCGTTAGCATAGATATACTTTTTATTGATCAAGTTTTCGTCAAGCGGAAACATATAGAATTGTATAGAATTCTAGGTGATGAACTATGTCTGTACTAACGTAGAATTCTATACATTTCCGCTTGACTAAAACTTGGTCGGTATATTGTATATCCATGCTAACGTAGAATTCTAATGAATTCTATACGTTTCCGCTTGTTTCCCATCCGTATCCCATCTGTATTTTAATTTTAATTTTATTTAAATTTTAAAATTTAAATAAAATTAAAATTAAAATACGGAACTAAAGTATCTAGCTTTAACTCTATTATATATCTAGTCCGTATCGACCAATAGTTATACTCTCAATATTATTTATTAATTATTATTTTAGTAACGGTTTAGGCAGAATGATGTAATATTTCAAAATCTCTCTATGGCAAAATCCTGAACATTTCTCTATTTTTTGGATTCAATGTAGTGAGCATAGCTATTTAATTATTTCTAGTATATTAATGTTTTTCAATAATAAATATTCTACGAAATAACTCTGGTAAAAGTGTATTGAAGGATGTGATCACAGTACTTCTAATATTGATGTCGGACGATGCTATTTGTTTGACTGATTTGGCAAGCGCATGATCAAGTCGTTTTTGTATCTAGGATTGACAAACAACACTATTATAATCAAATGAGAAAATGGAAAATATAAAGAGGTCTTCGCTTGCATATACACGAGAGGCGCACTTGATAAAAGATAGATGTTTGATGAACTTCGTTGAATATCTGCATCAATATTTCCATTGATAATGTTGTCCATTTGATTGCCGTTAATCAGTAACTCCGTCGGACTCTGAGGCGAATTGAAGTATAATAGTCTTGTAGAGCATTAGCTATGAAATTTGCAGAAGTAATATTTGTGTTCAATAAAATGGATTCTGAATAATTCTAAAGATAAACCAATGACCTAAACAACACTCATTTTGCAAACTAACATAAGAAAAACAGAAAAAAAACATTATCTCATGAACACTGAAGAATTACAATATCCACATGACATACCAAGCAAAATAATCCATCCTCATTATTCATGATTCTTCTCTTCTCCTTCCGACAGTAAGCATGACCATAACCTGCACAATACATCAACGCTAGTAATTGCGTTGACGGAAGACAGAGAGGCACTAAGCTCCTGCATGGTAATGCTTTCACGCGAAAATACTTCAGCCGACGTACTTAAGCCTACTGCCGGAGTAGAAGAAGAACTGGTACTTGATATTGAAGTAGACGTTGTAGTGGTAGTCTCAGTGGTACTCGATATTGAACTTGAAGTAGTAGTCGATGTTTCAGTTATGATAAATGTTTCGATAGAAGTGCTAGTAGTCGATCTTGAACTAGTGGTACTTGATGATGTGGTACACGTTGTATTAGTACCCTCAGTGGTAGTCGATGTTGAAGTAGACGTTGTAGCAGTAGTCGATGTTATACTTGAAGTTGTAGTCGATGTTGAACTGCTGGTACGCGACGATGTGGTAGACGCTGTACTAGTACTCTCTAAAAAAATGATGCTGGACAGAATCTTTTAGGGTTCAAGAACTGGTACCATTTGTAGAACCTTTTAGGGTTCAAGCCATAAAAGGGTACTGTCTCACACCTTTTTTTCTTTTCGGATAAAAGGTTTTAGTTACAAATGTTTCAGTACCATTCAAGTGGTTCGATGTCGAACCTTCGCAAACGAAAGGTTTCGTACAAGATCTCTCTCAACAAGAAGATTCTTTATGGATCCTTTTTCTCCCGCGTTTCTCTTCGTCCAGTATTCTACTGTTATATTCTCTTATTTATATACCAGACAGAGACCGAAGCGGGTCGGGTCGCTTCTGATTGAGGTAAAAAATATCGAGTCGGGTCGGGCCAAAGGAAAAAATGTTCGGATTTTATTCGGGTCTTGCCACTAGAAGTCAAATCAGGACAGTTTCTTTGGTTATTCATCTGTTTTCAAACATGTGTCTTTTTTATCGAAAAAGAAAATACAGTGTTTTTCTTCTTCCTTCTAAGACGCTGTTGAATATACAGCCTAGTACTGTTGAAGCAAAGAAAGAAAAGAAAATTATATATACAAAACTGATTAATTTAAATAATAAAATAATCCAAGTTTGTGATCCTTTACTGTTTTGGAAAGAACTTTCAAAAATATTTCCTCTATTAGTCAAAGTGACCGAATAAATTTTGGCAATTCCGGCTACATCAGCTAGTGTAGAACGCTCATTTAGTGGTGTAGGTTTAACTATCACAGAATTGTGAAAAATTTCACAGAAAAATTGTGAATTGAAAATGTTACAGAAAATGAGCCATTTGAACAAATAACTTGCAAGATGACTACAGGGTAAATTTCACATCGCATTAGAAACGTATCGAAACGTTCATTCATTCCGTGACTTAGTCCAAGGCTAAATTGTACATTGTTAGAGAGCACTCATTGAGAAGTATCCAACACTGCCCTCTGATGGCCCGCATCTAAACAAAAACATTAGAAAGTTTTCCAAAGATCTATTGTCTCCGTGGTATTCCGAAACAAAAGTTATGTAGATTCATTCCACGACTTGGCACAAAGTAAATTGCGCACCGTTGAATAGAACTCATCGAGGCGCATACAACAGTGTCCTCTGATGATGTTCATCTCAACAAAAATTTCAGAAAGTTTTCCAAAGATCTTTTTTCTCTGTGGAAGTCAGGATTAAAAGTTCCGCAGATTCATTTCACGACTTGGTCCAAGGCTAACTTGCACATTGTTAGCTAGAACCCATCGATGCATTCATAACTACAGTAATGGTTATATAAGTAGCGGTAACCTGGGGAATCAACGTACAACTGATGGATTTTGCAATCGTATAAGGCGTGAGAAAAGAAACATTGACACCAGATAGTTTATGTGTTGGTGGCTTGTAAAAGATCGAGATCGACTACGATCGTCAGGATGGTCTGCCCCTTGCTCTTGTGCGTCCTGATAGCGTAGGTGGGTGATTAGAACCTTACCCTTGAAAAGTTCTGACAAATGTTGATAATTCTGCGTGGAGATTGATAAGAAGTATGGATCGATATTAATCCGTCATAAATCGCACTGCTGGTCATATTATGATTCTCATCCTCGCTCCAACCGTATAACGTGGCACTATATGCCGATTCTCACTCTCACAACGAAAATAATTCGGAAGCCCATCAAAACCTAAAACATTATCTCGACATCTTATGGAGATTCTAGATGCTACGGTTTCTCGTCGTTCTGCATTGAAACCAACATAGGCAGCCACCAAAATCGAGAATGTTTTCTGGTGACCTTCCGAAGAGCTCCTGGAAACTCTCTGAGAATAGGGTCAGGTTTTCTATGTGAAATTACCCTCTGTTACAAAAGTTTTAGCTGAGCCATTTCCCACAAGTGCTGTTATTTTTAAAATCCTCGTGTGAACAGACAGACCGACAAACATTTTATGTTATATGACCCCGGCTAATGTTAAGAAAATCCTACCGAATCCGTCTCAATACTTAGTCGAAATTCAAAAGCGTTCTAGAGAACCCGTGGAAATTGTGAGACCATCTATTATTTACATGCTGATTGTGGTACCACTCATCATTTGTGGCAAACGCATGTGAAATTCAAAAGTTTTATGACACCTGTCAGAAGAGCGCCGCGCAATTCTCGGACATTCGAAACCAAGTCCATTCTTCATGAAGGTCACTTAAGAGCGACAGAAATACAAAGTTATCTGGAGACCTCCTATATAAGAATCGACGTCTGTGGTTAGATCTTGCATATCTAGTCATCTATTGCTTTTTCCTTTAGTTGTGATCACTATTAGTCTATAGTTCTATGAACAAAGCCTGTCACACGAACCCGCCTTCAACAAAACATTCTACACTCTGCGCTACAAATACTAACATTGAAAAAAAGATAATTTGTTTGATATAAAAATTAAGGTACACTTTTGACACAACAGTTTTGATACGGAGTGAGTAAACCTATTCTATGCAAAAAACTATCTAAGACTTAAACTTTATTTTAGTCTCACTTTGTGCAGAATTCAATTTTCTATCTTGTACAGTATAAAAAAGTTGAAGTGGATCTCGAATGCAGGAGCGGAAACATTGAGAAGAAATAGCTTGTCAGCACTGAGGTGGTAGTCCGTTTATTTTGTATTTTTTCCACTTTCTATACGTCTGCAATAGACAATAAAGGCATATTTGAAATCAGCAGACAAAATTGGATGAGAAACCACACAGGTCCCAGACTCAAAAATTATACAGAAATGTGCGCCTTTCAAAACTCTATACGTATCTATTCTTATCGTGTTAATTAAATCATATTTTAAAAACCGGCGGTATCCTCTGACCATTGTACCTAAATAACAAATGTATACTTATATATAGAATTTTTAATTTCTTAATTATCGGTTGAGATTAAATTGCATAAGAAAGAGAAATTAATAAGTCGCCATTGACTCGTCGGGTTTACATTGGTTTTAAAAGTGATAACACAAAATCGCTTGAAAATAGTAGATAAGCTTAAGAAAAAAGTTAAGAATAAGTTAGATACAGACACATACGAAGTTTTAAGAAAAGATCCAAGTGCACACATATACAAAGAATTGAGTAAGTTAGTTACTAAACTAAAACAAAATTTATTAATTTCAAAACGTCAAGCCAAGGCTTTCTTAAAACAAAAACGAATACCGATTGTTAGAGCGCAAGTCAAAGTTCACAAAGCAGGCTATCCTGTAAGGTTAATCGTGGCAATGAGAGAAACGATAGGATTAAAATTAGCCAGATTCGTTACGCACAGTTTAAGTAAGATAAGTGAAGAAGCGAGATCGAGCAAAGACACCGAAAATTTCGTCAATAGCTTAGATAAGAACACAGCAAAAAATAGAACTACACTTGCTAGTTTAGATGTAGTAGATCTTTTTACATCAATCGATAAGAATAAGGCACTAGAAATATTAAAACAAGTTTTAGACGATGATGACATCTGGATGACCGATAGAAGTTTGACAAAAGAAAGTATACTTGAAATTGTCAGTTTTTGCGTCAGTAATGTAGTGTTTAGATTTGACGGCAAAATTTATAAGCAAAAAATGGGATTGCCAATGGGGAATTCACTATCTTCCCTCCTGGCAGATCTCGTTATGAATGATTTTATTGTCAAAAATTGGGACAAAAATAAATTCCCGTACAATATGTTGAAACGTTATGTAGACGACATAATTCTAATTTCAGAATTAGATAAGGATTAAATTAATGATTTAGTAGCGTATCTAAATAAAATTGACAAGAATAATATTCAGTTCACGTCAGAATTTGAGAATGAGTCTAAGTTACCGTTTTTAGATGTATTAATTAAAGTAGACAAGGAGAATCATAAATTTAAGACAACGTGGTATCGAAAACCAACAGCAGCTAAATCATTACTAGATTTTAGGTCGGATCATAATGAAACCATTAAACAGAACATTGCTAGTAATATGCTCAATAAAATAATGATGATAAATAAAAATGAAACTAACAAATCAGACATCACAGCTCTTTGTCAATTATTGCTAAATAGTAGTTATCTGAACTCTACCACAAAAACTATAAAGAATAAAGTTAGAAACATTAGGAAAGATCACAACAGTAAGAACGAGGATAACAGGATATATACATCCACTGTAGTTATACCACACTTGAAAGGCATGACAGAAAAGCTTAAACAAAATTTGAGGAAAGAAAATGTTTGACTCATTGTCGAAAATTACACTCTCTTCGAATCTGATTTCTATTTTACATGCAACAGCATGTTTAGCTATCTTTGACAATTCAATTTTTTCTTTGGCTACGTAATTTTGATACTGTTTAACTCTTCTATCGAAACACTCACTTTCACCTACATACACTGAGCTACATTCGCAGTAAATGCCATAAATAGCATTTTTGCATCCTATTTTTGATTCCTTTTTAAGTTGATTGCATGCTACCATTCTAGTTTTATTCAAGGTATTTCCTATATTCTTTAAGTGTTTTGTAAATGTTCGAACATTTTCTTTCCTCAAATTTTGTTTAAGCTTTTCTGTCATGCCTTTCAAGTGTGGTATAACTACAGTGGATGTATATATCCTGTTATCCTCGTTCTTACTGTTGTGATCTTTCCTAATGTTTCTAACTTTATTCTTTATAGTTTTTGTGGTAGAGTTCAGATAACTACTATTTAGCAATAATTGACAAAGAGCTGTGATGTCTGATTTGTTAGTTTCATTTTTATTTATCATCATTATTTTATTGAGCATATTACTAGCAATGTTCTGTTTAATGGTTTCATTATGATCCGACCTAAAATCTAGTAATGATTTAGCTGCTGTTGGTTTTCGATACCACGTTGTCTTAAATTTATGATTCTCCTTGTCTACTTTAATTAATACATCTAAAAACGGTAACTTAGACTCATTCTCAAATTCTGACGTGAACTGAATATTATTCTTGTCAATTTTATTTAGATACGCTACTAAATCATTAATTTAATCCTTATCTAATTCTGAAATTAGAATTATGTCGTCTACAT